CCCCCCCCCCCATCATTAGCTGCCTAATGTATAGAGCACTCACAATCTCCCAACCCTCCAACGTCGACAGTGAAGTTGAACATCTTGAGACAGCTCTGACCAAGAAGAGATATAACATCAATCAAATTCGAAAGGTCAAGCATAAGCTACAGAGCAAGCTCTCTGCTCCCCGAGAGGAGACTGATCCTGAGGAAAAACAGAAAAGACCTAAAGTGGCCCTCCTCCCCTATCTAAGAGACGCAACAGAACGCATAAGTAAAGTAGTCGGAAAACATAACATCCGAACGATCTTCCAACCCCCAAAGAAGATCGGACAGATGCAGCCGAGTGCAAAGGATCCAAGACCACCCCTGAGCACACCAGGAGTGTACGAGATGCCTTGCTCATGCGGGAAAGTGTACATTGGAGAAACCGAGAGGAAGATCAGTACACGGAGCAAGGAACATCAGCGGTGTTCCAAATACGGCCACTCAGAACAGTCTGCCCTGGCTGAATACTGGATGGACACTGGACTAAAAAAAAAAAAATTCTGAGAGAATTAGAATTTAGAGAGAAAAAAATTTCCGCTTCACCCAGCCGGGAATCGAACCCGGGTCTCCCAGATACGCGCCGGGCACTCTTACCGACTAAGCTACCGGGAACCACTGAAATTCACTCTCAAATTCACCTCATACACCGCACCGCCTAACCTCCTTTAGGCATTAAAGAATTCTAAGAGAATTAAAATTTAGAGAGAAAAAAATTTCTGCTTCACCCAGCCGGGAATCGAACCCTGGTCTCCCAGATATGCGCCGGGCACTCTTACCGACTAAGCTACCGGGAACTACATAAACTATCCAGTACGACCAAGCCAGAATGTTGGCCAAATTTCAAGGGTATTTCGGAAGGAAAGACCGAGAGGGTTTGGATATCCATAACAACCCTAACAACCTCAACAGGGACAGAGGATATCAAGTGAACCCCATTTGGAAAACCGTCCTTCCGATTTTTTAATTGAGCAGCTGATCAATTAAAAACATACGATTGGCTGACTCCCCCCCCTTATTCTTCCCCCACTATCACAGGGGAAGACATATAACGACAACCCCCACACATCTGAGCTCAGAATCGGAGCTCACTGCCCTGAAGATGCAAACTGCAACGTTGGAGAAAAGTCGGCGCAATGCTGAAACCAAACGCAGCATCCATCCGGAAGCCAATATTGTCATTAATCATAACCGCGAAAGCCTTAAAACTAAGATGTAGACGTCATTTGGAACCTTATCAGACCTTCGATTGTGATACTTTTGATGGACCACCCGCTATGATAAGAGATTGTGTAATGTTTAATAACTCTTAATAAAAGAAAAAATACTTTTAATTGTAATATTTATTCATGTACTTCATATATATACTATACATTAGTTATAATCTTAAAAATTGTCATTTTGTAGAAGAAGAATTTTGATTAAATAAAGAAAATATATAAAAATTTTATTGTTCTATTTCATATGTAATTTAAAAAAAATTACACAATTACTTTAATTTGAAAATTAAGCTACAGCCCCCTCCTCATCTGCATGGAATTTCATTTCGTTGTTTTCGCTGCCCAAGTACACCAACTTTGGTGAACCTCTCTTAATTTCGCTCAGCCAAGCTTCGAATTGTTTGGGATTTTCAATGAAGGACTTTGGCATTCTTCAGTTCAGGAAAAGTGAATAAGCATTATTCAAATGGAGGATCACACTCATACCATGCTTCGTCTTGACTTTGAAGGCTGCAGTAATGGTGTAAAAGATTAACGTTCCGGAAATCTCACGTTCAAGCATTGTCCGGAATATCTCAAGTGGGGCGGCAAACACAGAGGGTGGGAAAACTCAAGTTCGAACATGTCTGGAAAATGTGAAATGGGGCCATGTGGTTACCAGATGTGATGCCCGATATTCATGACCCCCCCCCCCCCCGTAGCGCCGCGCTACATTCTAAAACGCAAACACTGACTAACGACGAGCAGAGGCATTTGCGCGTCTCACTCGCACTTTCGGTACCACGCGTATTCTTTTCTGATTCGTCAAATCGTAAGGATATTCGGCATCCTCGCTGACACCTTTCTGTGCGAATATAATTCAGTCTAACAGTACAGCTCGTATCGCACACTTGATCGGATCAAATTATTTCTCTTCACCTTTGTATTAATTTGACGCGGATAATAAATTTGTAATTATTAGTTTAATTTCATTTGTTAGTGGATTGTTACCTTCCCGACAACACCTCAATCCCTACATTGGTGACCCCGACGTGATCAAAATAAGGGAAATTCGCGTTAATCGAAAGGGAAAATTAACTCGCGGCGCGGCCTGCATTTTTGCTCGAAAGTTTTATCCGCGCTTCCCAACGTTTTTAACCTATCCTTGGTGAACACCCGCGCAGCTAGCTTTCTAGTGCCGCATAACTCCGAGTGCAAGTGCAATTTTATTTCACGTGCTTGATAAAACATGACTTTCACCGTGTTGTTTTTCTCAACGAAAATATTAAACACGCCATCTCGAAGCTTCTAGAACATTCGAAGCGTCCGAGTGTCAACCGTTGATTTCTCAGTATTTCGGTGAAATCACAACAAAGTTCCGTATTCAAGTGAACAGTGACCTCGCACCGACACATTGCTGAGCACCCAGAGACTGTGTTGTGTTGTGTTGGTGATAAATAGAGACTTATAACGCCTTTATTTGTCGTCACATTTGCACTTTTAATTTTATTTCTCTTCGAAATTTAATTTTGAAAATCGATAATCGTAGCTTCTTATTCAAAACCAACAAAGTGAGATACGATGTCTACCGCAACAGGCGGCACGCTGACGGTCCCGATTGTCACGACGATGACAGCCTCCGCATTGCCGCAGATCAAGGCGGTGTTTGAGGTGAATTTGAGAGTGAATTTCTGTGGTTCCCGGTAGCTCAGTCGGTAAGAGTGCCCGGCGCGTATCTGGGAGACCCGGGTTCGATTCCCGGCTGGGTGAAGCGGAAATTTTTTCTCTCTAAATTCTAATTCTCTTAGAATTTTTTAATGCCTAAAGGAGGTTAGGCGGTGTTTGAGGTGAATTTGAGAGTGAATTTCTGTGGTTCCCGGTAGCTTAGTCGGTAAGAGTGCCCGGCGCGTATCTGGGAGACCCGGGTTCGATTCCCGGCTGGGTGAAGCGGAAATTTTTTCTCTCTAAATTCTAATTCTCTTAGAATTAGAACCGAGCACCGTAGTACTCGCGTGACAAACCCAGGACTTGGTTCATACAGCTGGAGGCCCAATTTTGCAATTAAAGAATTGTAACAGAAAGAAATGAATTTTACCGAACTTTACCAGTGATTGATACAGAATCAGCTGCTGAAGTAGAGGATGTAGTTATTACCTCCGATCAAGTCGCATCTTCTCAAACTCTCAGAAACGCTCTGATTGCTCGATTTACAAAGTCAAAGGAAGCAAATCTTATCCAATTACTTGATCGGGAGTTGATTGGAAATCGATTACACTCTCAATATCTAAGGCATTTGAAATGTTTAGTTCCAGATATTGATTATGAAGTCTTGATTGCACGCTGGCTATCTTACCTTCGGAAGAGCACCCGAGCATGTCTGGTGATGCAGCCCCAGGCAAATACCAATAACCTAGCAAAGCTCGCAGACAAGATCCACGAGGTGTATCATCGAGATCCTGTCGCGGCGGTAACAGAGTCGAGTGCCGGGGAAAACGCGCAGCTAGCAACTCAGGTCGCTGCACTCACCGCATCTCATGCAGCCCTGCAAGCACAGAACTCGCGCTCACATCCACGCTCACGTGCCCGCTCCCGATCCCGCGGGCGAGACAACAACAACCGCTCGCATAGCAGGTCGGACACCAAGGTCTTCGGACAAACGTAGACCTGCTGGTACCATTTTAAATTTGATAATCGAGCGCGTAACTGTTCGTCCAGTTGTAAGTTTTAGGAAAACTCCAGGGAGAGACAATAGTGGCGGAAGTCGTCTCTCACTTGAAATCCCGCCGCCTATTCATCACCGACAGAATGACTGGGACCCGATACCTAGTGGACACAGACTCAGACGTCTCTGTCACGCCTTGCAGGCGGCCAGCAAATCAAAGGGACATCAGCGGCTATCAACTCTTCGCAGCCAACGGCACCCTCATGGATACATACGGCTACATGTCCATCTCGCCCAATCTCGGTCTCCGGAGAGACTTAACGTGGCGTTTCGTCGAGGCAGACGTCAGCAGACCCATAATTGGTGCTGATTTCCTGCACCACTTCAATCTGCTGCCGGATTTGAGGAACGAGTGCCTAATCGACAGCTCAACAGGCCGAAAATCGAATGGCCAGTTTACGCGTTTCCGCGCACTGTCTGTTAAGCTCCTCGAGATCAACGGAGATTCACCGTACGCGTCCATCCTGAAAGAATTCCCGGCAATAAAGAAACCAGAGGGACTGCTCAGAAACACGGAGCACTCTACTCTCCACCATATTAGACCGACACTGGGACCACCTATCTCCTGCAGAGCGCGCCGTTTGGTGCCAGATAAACTCAACATCGCGTATGCCGAATTTTCGAGCATGTTAAAACTGAGAACTGCAAGGAAATGTGAAAGTCCTTTGTCATCTCCGCTCCATTTGGCCCCGAAAAAGTACGGCGAATGGAGACCATGCGGAGACTACCGCGCCCTCAACGACAGGACTATACCAGATAAGTACCCTGTTAGCTATTTAGAGGATTTTGCTGCCAACTTGTACGGCAATGCAATTTTCTTTACCATAGATCTGGTCAAAGCGTTCAATCAAATTCCAGTTACACCTGAGGAAATCCAAAAGACCGCGATAATCACGCCTTTTGGACTTATCGAATTTCCGTACATGACTTTCGGCCTCAGGAACGCGGCTCAAACCTTTCAACGCCTAACAGATGAAGTGACACGCGATCTACCTTTTCTGTTTCTGTTGAGGTATGGCTCCAGCTCCTGGTCCTCATATATATATATATATATATATATATATATATAT